GAGAAGAGGGGGGAGAGAGAGACCGAGAAGAGCAGCGACAGCAGCATCAGAACGCTCATTTATCATAAGAGCGATTTCCCTGTTAATAAAGTGACCTTGTGTAAACAGCTCAACTTCTCACAGCTCTCTCGTCATTAGGAGAGGGACACCCGTTCATCGATCGTGACCACACGGGCTGCTGAACCAGGGTGAACTGCCACCACCAGAAGAATTATATGTGGCTGAGCCCAGCCCCTGGATCCCGGAGAGATGGGGCCCGGGAAGGGAGGTACTTTGTGCCGACTCCTTCGTGGACAGAGCAGTGGGCTTGATCCGAGGCAGTGGTGGGCCAGAGGTGGGGCTCCCCCAAGACCCCTGACCCCAAGGCAGGAGTGCCTTGCAGTTGGGAGTGGCTCCCCAAGGCTTGCTGCCTCCTCACGCCATGCCCTGCCCACCCTAGAAAGCACCTCTAAAGGTGGCTCTTTGCCAGTGCTCCAGAAGCAGAGGTCTAGGCAGGACCCCCAATTCCCCGCATCTATATTGTCAAAGCAGCCAATACATGGCCACTGAGCTCCAGCCCCTCTCAAGTTCTCCTGGGAACTTGACCTCACCCTGCCATGCTCCAGCACATCAGTACTCCTTGTTGAGGGGCCACAAAATTCCTGTAGCATTAAAGCCACTGAGAAAAGGGGAAGCCACATAAGCCCAGCTCCAACAGAGGGCAGACCAGAGCAGGTCCGGCTCCTCCTCGGGGGGACCCAGGAGAGGGACCTGGGAGATGGGGCAGGGTGGAAGCCCCTGCCAGTCTGGGCCACGAACTGGCCCTGTGAGGACACCTGGCCTCTGATCTCTTAAGTGAGGGTCAAAGCGGTTGACCTCCAAGGCACCGTCCAGGTCTAAGGGTTCCAGTTATGCATGGGGGTTTTCTTAATTAAACATATAGATATTAAAGCAATTCTTTAAATTAATAAGGGGAGTGGCCGGAGTGGAAAATCGCCTCATGGTAATGCAGCCCTCTACTCCCTTCCCCAATTGCTTTTCTCTGCCCCCCAAAAGCTAAGACATCGTATGGCATTTGCCAACTTTCGAAATCTTGCAAGAAGATCTTATTTTCTTCAAAGACAAAAGACATCTTTTAACCTCCTTTTCATGTTTTCTTAGGTCTGGAATCCCGAGAGAAGCCTCCATCTTCGAGGAAAAAGAGGAGATCACAGGAGACCATCACACCCGCCATCACCCCACTTTCCTCCTACTAGAAGCTTCCAGCTCCCGGGCGGTGCTCTAAGCCCTGGAATTAACCCTTATTATGTTGCATAGCAGCCAGCCACGAATGCACACAATGCAAGCAGAGGGCTTTTTGATGCACTGATACAATTTGGTGAACATTGCATATTTTTTTTTCTTTCTTTTCAATAGAATGGCTCTTACCTTTTGTCCCATATCTTTAAGAGCCACTGCTCTCAGCTCAGCTATCACTGAATCTTCACTGAGGTGCTAGTTTAAAAAGACTCAAGTTCTCCCCCCTCCCAGGAGTACCTGCATTTTAACAGGGAACTCTTAAAGGTTGAAAACCTTCAAAGGTCAAGGAATTAATTTCAGACATTAGGACAGAAGTCTGGCTGGGGGGACCTGCCCAGAGAGTTCCTTCTCAACGCGCTCTGCACACAGGCCTGGCCCACCAGGCCCACCTGTGGGACTTGGGACAAACAGAGTCTGCCTTGAGCCTCACTCAATAAAGAAAGGGGCTAGCTGTGCACCGTTCTATAGTCCTCTCACATGACTGCGAGAAGGATCTGGGTTATACCTGAAGCATGTCCTGTCTAGGAAAAAGAGCATGTTCTAGAGCCAGCCAGGGGCTTCCTCTCTTGAGAATCTGCAAGCCCATCTGGAGGAAAGTGGGAGCACACCTGGCTTCAGGGCCCACCTCTTCAGAGGTATTTATTCACATAGATACAAATAAAGGTCAATAGAGTGATTCGCTTCAACAAATAATAATTGAGACCCAACTCTTTAAGATGCACTGGATGGAAAGTCAGGTGGGAGCAAGGAGTAGAGAGGATAGTTTTGACAAACAGAGAATATATTATTATTGTCTTTGAGAAGCTCAGTCTAGTGGCCAAGCCGACAACATACCCAGCACACTATAACACCACGTGTTAAATATCTTATGAACAAGGTGCTATGGGAGTGCAGAAAGGGAAGCAATTAATCTACAGGGTGTCTGGAGAGGCTTCAAAGAACCATTCAAACTGCCAAAGAAGGAGAGAAGAAGGAAACAAGCAAGGCTGTTCAGAGATGGAAGGCAGTAAGCACAAAACACATACAGGTGGAGAGAGGATGGCATGTTGGAGGACTACAGAAATTTGCCAAACTAGAGCGAGCTTCCTTAAGTGGGCCCCCTTCCACACTTCTCTCCTTTTTCCAGGCAGATACCTGTGCAGGAGCCATGGACATGCCCCCAGCTGGCCTTGTGGCAAGGCTCACCAGGAAGAAGCCAGACTGCAACCGTGGGGCAGGGCTAGACTGAGGAAGGCTTTGATTACCATGCTGAAGGCGTCAGCTTCATCTCAAGCCACTGCTATTACCAAGACGAAGGCAGCTCCTCTGTGACTTTGCCCATAGCTGTACCGCCGACAGCAGGGGGATGAGTAAAGCCATGCCGTTAGCAGTCTTAGAAGTCCCTGCTGCAAAACAGTGGATGAATGAATGTCCTGGAAGTCTTAGTTTCATTTTTAAAATGTTTGCCAATTTGGGTTTTATGGTGTCATTTATCCATTTCTCTCCATCTAAAAATAGTATTTGCAATCACTTCTTACCGAGCAACATGAGGACTTGCCGTGGTCACCCTGTGGATTCTCACACCCGCAGCACTTTGCCAAGTCCCTCCTGGTGCACTTCTCCTTCATGTCGAGCGAGAGGTGTGACATGAGGGCCGTGGAGTGTAGTGCCCAGGTCTGAGCGCTGGGGAGGAGGCAGTGGGAAGAACAGGCTGGCAAGGATGAGGCTGTGGGGGCAGGAAGACCAGGAAGAGGTGACATTGGGGAAGGAAGAGACAACAGCAGTAGAAATCAAGAGAAGATGGTTGGACTTGCTCACTGTTGGCCATTGAGTGGGAGAAGTCAAAGTCCCAGAGAACTTCAAGTTTCTTCCCACAATGCTTACTGCAATCCCTGCTGCCATGTAACAAATGATCCCCGAACTCAGCAACACCAAGCACCCATTGTATTAAGCTCACAGATTCTGTGAGTTAGGCATCTGGAAGGGCACAGCTCCATGATGTCTGGACCTCAGCTGGGAAGAATCGAAGGCTGGAGTGACTCTTGTGTCTGGTGGCTGATGCTGGCTGTCAACCCGGACCCCAGCTGAGCTGTGGACTGCAGACACTGGTTGGTGTCATCACAGCACAGTGGCTGGGCTCTAAGAGTAAGCAACCCAAGGGAACAAGGTGCGTGACATTTTCACCTCACTTCAAAAATGACATCCCATCACTTCGGCTGTGCCCTGTTGATCGAGGCTAGCACAAAAGGTCTGCTCAGGTTCAGGAGACTCCACCACTGGACAGGAGGAGTGACAAGGTCACATCGTAAGAAGAACATGTGGAATGGGAAATTTTGTATGGCCATCCTGGGGAAAAAAACACCTGCCGTAGTGCTCTACTGCTGTGGTCCCGAAGTCCCCCTCCTGTCCACAGACTGCTACCAGTCTGCAGCTTGTTGGGAACCAGGCCACAGAGCTCCAGCATGCCCCTGCCTCCCCTCGCCTGCCCCTCCCCACGCCCGTGGACAAATTGTCTTCCATGAAACTTAGGAAAGAGGGGGTGTCTCCCAGCACACAGCAAAAGGTGAGCTGCAGCAAGCAAGCAAGCAAAGCTTCATCTGTATTTACAGCCACTCCCCATAGCTCACATCACAGCCTGAGCTCCGCCTCCCCTCCCCTCCCCTTGCACCCCACCCTTCCTCCCCACATCCATGCAAAAATTGTCTTCTATGAAACCCATCCCTGGTGCCAAAAAGGTTGGGGACCGCTGCTCTACCGGGAAACTCCTTTGTCAATTTTCACTTATAAAATCCTATTTTGCAAGTATGAGCTACTGAGAAAGAGTGCTCGTTGGTTTCACCTTTGCCTTCTCTCACAACATCTAGCATCATATCGTGTTCTCAGAAGGGTTTAGTAAGAATTTGTGGGATGAATGAATAAACAAATGAGTGAATAAATGAATGAGAAATGGATTGCCAGGAGGTCTCCATGGTATCTGACCCAGACACCTGCCTGGTGAAATCGGAGCTCACTGAAGGAAGGGACCACTTAAGGAAAGTTGGTGTTATTGCTCTCACATCCCTCCTGTATGTTCTCAGCTAATCCAGCAATCCATTATTTATGTGTAGCCTAATTAAGGTTGTGAGTGGCTTGATCCCTGTTTACTTAAGTCTATCCCGGAAGATTGCCAAGATTAAGTGAAATTACCTCCAGGCAGGCAAACCTCGCAGGGGCCCAGCTAGAAGAGAGGAGTAGAGAGATGGCCCCTGGTCTTCTGGGAGAGACTGCACTGCGGAAAATCTCATCTCCCCCGCCCCCAGTCCCACACGCCACATGTCCCTGCCGTACCCACCACCCAGGGCCCAGTGGGCCACACATGTGCATGGGGCATCTGTAAATACATCAGCATGCCCATGGCCCGGCTACCTCTGGGCAAATGCATTCTCACACAAGTGGTACTGCTCCCTTGCTTGTTGCTGCCAATTCCTGTTCGCTTAATAAAGATTCAGATAATCTGGACCAAACAAAACTCAGTGAAGTCTGAAACTAACTAATCGAAAACGATTAGCTCCTTTCAGCCTCTGAATCCACCTTTTTTTTTTTTCTTGTAAAACCAAAGGCCAGTTCTTTTTGGATGCTGGCCTTGTACGTTCAATGAAGAGAGAAGTGAATTGGCTCTAGTGGCCAGGATAGGTTAGTATTTTTGAATAATTGGTAGCAAATCAGAAAACCTTTCCCCACAAAGGGCCATTTATATTTTTTACCTCTACTCCCGAGCCTGTTCTTCTTTGAAGAGGCGTTGACCCGTCAGTATTCAAGGTGTCCTCAGAGTTTACCGGACCCTTGTTCGTGGGGAAACATCTGCATTTGCTCATGCTCACGTCCTAGGCGTTGTAGGGGACCTCAGGGTCTCAGAGACAGGAGAGTATCTTCGGCCATCACTCTTCATCCTCCAACTGTGACAAAAGAAATGCCTTTGGCAACTGGTTATCTGGAGCTGAGGCCTGGGGGGACGGTGTTGGAGACAGAGGTCTACACCAGGAGAGAGCAAATGCAGGGAGAAGAACAAGCTTTCTCAACACTGAGGAAGTACAGACACATCTGTAACACATGCATTTATTTATTTACTTATTTAGCAGCACTTATTGGCCGCATCCTTAAACCAGGAACTTGGCTGATCTCTTCCCTCTGGTTACTCACAGTTCAGTAGTAACACAAGTAAACGGAGGAGTCGATGACTGCATGATAATGCTACAGTGGAGTTACGCACAGGGAACTATGAGAAAGCTAGCAGGGGCTTTTCAGCCAGTTTTAGGGTTGGAAGCAGGCTTATGGAGGTTGGTGAGGATAAAGCTCTGAGTTCGTTGATTGTGGTGGGTTGGGGGGCTTAGTGGGGAGAGACAAGACAGCTTGGGATGGAGGATGGGTGGGGGGATAGTGGTGGTACATTATACTATCTAAAGAAGTAACTGTATGAACAAATGCATTAACATAGCAGTAGTAGAAGCAGTAGTAATGGTTCTACTACCAAATATATCTTGCATGATATCAAGAGCTTTGCATGGATTACTGCATTTAATTCTAACAACAAATCCAAGTTCTCCCCATTATATGCAAAATGGAACTAAGTCACACTGAGATTAAAGAATTTTCCCAAAGTCACAGGAGATGAAGTTGGAATATGACGAACTTGGAATCCAGGAAGAGAGTCAGGCTCCAGCCTTCACACTCTGAGTCTCTGCACTTTCCTGCCAGGCCCACTGAGGCAGATTTTGTTCTTTATCCTGTAAGCACTTACAGGCATTGAAGAGTTTTAAGCAGCAAAGAGACATAGTCAGATTTGTGCTTTAAAGGCCAGTCTGGCTGCAGAGTGGAAAGGGATTGGAGAGTGGTAACACTAAGGGTAAGGTGACTAATTAGAAGGGTTGCATGTCCCAGGTGAGAAAATATGAGTGCCTAAGTGTGTGTGTGGAAGATCAGAAGAAAGGGTCAAATCTGAGAAATGTTTGAGATAAAAACTTGAACAGTATCAGTGACTGTCTGGAAGTGAGGTGTGGGTCAGAGGATATCTAGGATGATGCCCAGATTTATGGACTGAGTGGTCAGGAATGCCATTAACCATCTAGGAAATACTGGAGGCAGGGTAGCCCTGAGGGTCAGAAGGTAAAGGGAGACATGGAGAAGAAGGGGCCCCCTTCAAGCTTTGGGCCTGTTGACTTTGAAGCACTGTGGGACATCCACAGAGAGATGAGCAGAAGTCATTTGGATGGATACAGCTGAAAGTAAATGATTAGAGCTGGAGATATTACCCACGTGTGGTTGGTAGCTAGAGCCAACGGAGGGGGCGAGATTGCCAGGGAGGGCAGGGAGTGTAGGAAGAGTAGGAGTCCTCAAGAATACTACCGAATACATCTGGTCGTGGTGCTCACAGCTCAGCAGGTAATATAAATCAACTGAGCAGTTGATTACTGAGTGACAATGTTCTTAAGGGCAGGGAGAAAAGAGGAGTTGGAAAGTTGTCCAAGAAAAAAAAAAAAAAAAGTCTAAGAGGTAGGAGGAGAATTCAGAAAACAAATGGAGCCATAAGGGAGACTTTCAAGGAGAGAATGGTGATTACATATGATGATACAGAGAAGTCCAGAAAAAGAAGGATTGAAAAATGTTTAATTAATGGGTTTAATTAATACGTAGCCCCTCAGTGGCCAGAACCGTTCAGTGAGGAGGGTGGGGTTGGGGAAGGCAGGAGAAAGAAGCCAATGAACAGAGTGAATGAGGAGTATGAACACGGGCGTGACAGAATAATCCACCAAGCAACGTGTTTAGGTAGGAAAAGGAAAATACACGGGACCTGGGATCAAAGGAGAGTCGTGAGGGCTGGAGGAACCTGAGCCTCTTTAAAAGACGGAGAGAAGGGACGAGTGGAAGGAAGTTGGGCATGCAGGCGAGAGGGAGGATGATCAGGGAATGAGGCCCCGGCTGAGGAAGGGGCTGGGCTCAGGAGCAGGGTAGGATGGCCTTGAGCAGGAAGAAGGGCCCCCCCTCTGTCGGTGGGAGTGGACTGGGGACAAGGTGCATGAGTCCCCCCAGGGGAGGGCACCCAGGAGATGAGGTTCTCTCATCTCACTTTTCTATTTTTTTTTAAATAAAGCGATGGATGAAAACAGCTGCTCAGATAGTGAAGGAAGAAGATGGGAAGGAGACTTGAGAAGAGAGAAAGGGAGGAAAGGTGGGAGGGAGAAGGACGTGGGGAGCTGCCCAATCACACCATAATCGGCCAGCTGTGCTACAGAGCGAGGGTTGCCCCTTAGTTATGGGGTTGCCCCTTGGAATCCTCAACAATGTGGGCATAGAGGCGAAGACAGCAGATCCATTGTGGGGGGTTCCCAGCAAGTAGAGCATAAGATAGAGTCAATGGAATACACCAACCCCAAGGTCACCGGTGACCCCGGCATGGTGCATATTATAGGAGTTGATGCACGTAAGGCACCCAGCATAGCGACTGGCGCACAGTCAGCCCTCAACACACAGTGGCTATTGTTAATAGCAACCGGTTGGTCATCTCCAAGGTCATTCCTTATATTAAATGATAAACTCTAACATTCTCCTTCTTCTACTCTACCGTTCTCTTCTACTAAAGAAAGAAAATGAAGGCACACATTAGCATCTTAACAGGGAATTTAAGCTTAAACATAAAGAATTTTCCAATGGGAAGGGCTGTAAAATGCCCATACCATCGATTAAGAAGATGATAGAATCCTGGATGAAATTAGGATCCAGACAGATTCCTGTGTCTGGAATAGATTTGATGTAGCCCTTCATTGAAGCAGGGAATAACTCCCAATCATCAGGGGAGTTATTTATTTTTTTTTTCCAAATAGAAAAAAGCGATGACATCCCATGATGTTAAGTCCAGTCTACTAGAAATGGCTCCTTAGAGTACTAGGGTGGGAATAGTCCCAAGGCCAAGATCAAGCATTATAGTAACATCTGCCCTGTGCTCGCAGGGGCATATTTACGTTCCCCAGTCTGGCCCCAGCCCCTCCCCTGCGTGTGAGGAACTGAGGTCTGGGAAAGCAAATGCCTTGGCCAGCTCTTCGGTGGCAAACCTGGATGACAAGCCAGGTCTTCCAACTTACAGCCCGAGTTCTGTGCAGCACACTACGTTGCCACCTCCAAAACACTTATAAACAATGCAAACATCACATCAATGACTACTAATGACCTAAAATCTGTAGCAAAGACCAAGAAGCAGCAGATTTATGAATCAAGCCTCTGTTTTCACGTCTGGGCATGGGGGAATCATCATTTAGCATAAATAAACCAAGGCATAACCTAGAGTAATCCCGGGCAGCAACAAAGTGCTCAGGGAGGCCGAGTTCCTGCTGGGAAATACTAAGTGTGCAGTTTAAGCCTATTTGAAGCGTGTCAAGGCCTGAGGGCCTACACATGGGCACTGGTAGCTTTAAGGAGAGGCTATTTCAGTTGGAACAACTTTTTTTGGCACCTAATGCGTATCCAGCACCCAGGGTGGTAGCCCAATTATAGAATTAACATTGCTCATATCTGCTTAGCCAAATACAAAGCAACTACTCCATAAAGGGGCTCAGCATCCAAAATTAAACAGGGGAGGGAAAGCCCACTAATTGCTCTCATTTTTTTTGCCCAGCAGCTTGGTGCCAGTCTCAGAATCTCCTAAGCAGATGGAAGGAAGGTAGGTGTAGAGAAGGAACAGAGAAATAACTTCACTTGATCAAATTCCTCCTCCCACTCTCATATCTTCTCTCTGTCTCTTCTCCTGGCTCCTTTTGTTTAGTCTGTTAATGTTTCGAGTCTTTCCACCACGACTCCCTCCCCTGAGCCCAGTCTACAAGTAGGGTCAGCATCAGAGTCAGGAAGATCTGAGTTTGAATTATTCCTCCACTAGTACAAACTGTGTGATCTTGGACAAGTTACTTAACCTCTCTGAGTCACACTTTGCTCATCTGAAAGTAAGAGCAAACATGCTAATATTTACCTTTAAGTGTCAATCTGAGAAATAAACGACAACTATGAAAGACATTAGCATGCCATATCTTGTCCAGAGTATGTATAAACTCTGATGACAACCGGAGTCAGCCTGTCCTCTGAGATTCGAATGAAATAGGCCCGCACCCCACGTGGAGAAGAAAACCCCATCTCTCCAAAGGCTCTTGGAAGGGAGATTTATGCTTCTCCTGGTTACCTCTGAATAAGTTCAGTTTGGGGCTCAGGTTATCATCTAAAGATAATTATCCCCTTTCCACTCCATATGAACCAACACTGAGTACCACCTTGATTCCTTCATTCCCCCTAAATGTTCTTGCTATGGGACTGTGGGTGCAGCAGGCTTTTACTGAAAAGGTGGGGACCAGAGAAAGTTCGTATCATGATATGCCAACAACCTCAACTGATTATGTTGCTCTCCACTTTTAATGTCCTTCCTCTAATAGCATTTCCTCACTGGCCGCCTCTCTGCACATTCCAGCCTTCCACCACCTGGCCTCCCCCCACCCCATCCCCCTCTCCTCTTGCACGTCCTCCCTCTTCTCTGTGCTCACCCTGTGGCCAAATTCCTGTTCATTTCTTATTTAGAGCAGTTTGGTTATATCTTTATCTTGCTGTGTCTTCTCATACCAGGCTTGGGGCTTCATCTTCCAGATTTAAGACACCCTGTCAACGTGTTTTCCTAAACAAAGTCAGTCCTCTCCCTAGGAGGAGGGCTGGTGCCAGCTGTTAAGGCAACAATTGCGTGTTCCCTACTGCACACATCCTCGATCAATAGATGTTAGGAGCCTCTTTTCTTCTTCATACTGAAAAATGCCTTTTCCCAGACCACCTTCCCCTCCAACTCTTTTCCCATCTCTAGTGGGCCTCTTGAAAGAAGGCAGCCTCTCCTCCATCTCACCTGTACTCACTTT